AGAGGCAAGAAAATGCCCTTCTTCTGGTCACAACCCCTGTGACCGCCTCCAACCAAGCCCCACCTCCTCACAGCACATTCAGCTATGAATCACGAGGGGGTGAATCTGGGGATAATCACAGCCCCCCATCCAGTCACTTCAAAACACCTGAGGCTTGCGAGTGACAGTTCAGACCTAAAGCAACATCCCCGGTGGGAACGTAAGCTCTGTGAGGACAGGGGCCAGATCTGGTTTTGCAGTGCTGGTCTCCTGTGCCCAGCTCAGCCCCTGGAAGCAGCACTCAGTCTGTGTTTGTTCTGGGCTCACCTCTGGTCACGTACAATCGCCCTGCTCCAGACCACGAGGCCTTCCCCAGCATGGTACACTTGATCACCAGAGGCCACACTAGGGGGCCACATGTAGCCCACCAACTGATTCTGTCAGTACAGTTTTATTGGAACACCACCACACCCATTGGCTTACATATTTCTGTGGCCGTTTTCATGCAGCATCAAAGCAGAAAAATTGCCGCAGAGACCCCGTGGGAGTAAAGCCAACAACAGCCACTCACTGTCCCTTTGCAGAAAAAGTTTGTGGCTGCCTCCTCCAAGCCAAGGTGACAGCTTTAGTTGGTTGCTAAGCTTCCAGCAGGTGAATCCACATGAAGCCCTGAGAACCAGGCACAGGGCAGGGGCTCCCTGAAGTTCAGCAGGAGTTGGGGGTGCCGTGTGCTCTTTCCAAGAGACGCATCAGTGTTTGTTCATCATACAAATCGGATATTTTGTGCTCTTGGGGATAAATTTTGGCACCAAGACCACACCAACCTCCATGGGAACTCAGGACAATGTAGGGGGGAAATTGTGTTTGGACTGAAGTGGGAGGAGCCTCAAAAACGTCCAGAGTGGCTGTCTCCCTACACCCTGCCCCTGTGTAGCGCAGATATCTCTCCATGTGATCTTTACAGCAGTGCCTCTTACACTTTCATATGCACACAAATCTTGCTATGGGCACCTTGTTGAGATGCAGTTTCCAATCCTGTAGATGTGGGGTGGCCCTGAGGCTTGCATTTCTCACCGGCCCTCTGGGCTGCTGTTCCGTGGACCACACTAGGACAGATAAGGCCCTGCTGGGAACTGGCATTGTTATTACTGCTCCATTCTACAGAGTGGGAAACTGAGGCTCAGGCAGGTAATGAGCCTGTCCAAGGGTCCACAGTAAGTGACAAAGCCTGGGCTCTAGCTCAGGTGTGACCAATTCCCAAGTGCCTTTTTAGTCTGTGACACAATGCAGCCAGAAAGCCCTCTCTCGAGACCCACTCCACCCCAGAGATGCCCACTCACTTTTAACGAGCTTCCTTCCCAGCCTGGAATGAGCCTCACATGGTGCATCCTCCTGGGCACAGTGCTGTGTTCTGGCTGCCCCATCATCTGGGCAGAGTGGCCTCTCCCAAGAGAGACTGGACCAGGCATGGAGGTACACACCTGTAATGCTAGCATGCGGCAGTAGAGACAGGAGAATGGCAAATCTGAGCCCTGCCTGGGCAACTTACTGACTTGGGGAGACCCTGTCTCAGAAGCCTTGAGTTCAATGCCTAATCCCATAAAAAGAAGGAGGAGGAGGACGAGGAGGAGGAGAAGGGGAAGAGAAGGAGGAGGTGTAAGAAGGAGGAGGAGGAGGAGGAGGAGGAGGAGGAGGAGGAGGAGGAGGAGGAGGAAAAGGGGGTGGCTTGGAATTAGCTATGCTGGCCACAGAGGCTTCTGTTCATATCCCCATGGCCGCCACCATGTAGAGGACACGGGAAGCTGTTTCCTGCTTTCTGAAGCAGTTCTATGCCCTCCACACTGTCCTATGCCGTCTGCACCACAGCCGTCCTCTCCTCACCTCCCTCCATCTCGTCGCACACATCTCCTGCACACGTGTGCACACACACGCCTGCACGCACAGCACCCAGCCCAGCCCCACCCCTGCTGCTCACAGGAAGGCTGGGCTGGGCCTCCAGTTCCCACAGCTGAAGGGGCTGAGTGGGAGCACAGCTGGGTCCGCCCCAGGCGGCACACGGAACCGGAAGTCCTCCCTCTGCTCTGTTCCCAAAGCAGCCACTACTGACTGCCCTTAGAAGTCACACCGTGCCCTCTTTCTTCCTTAATGCTTGCATATGCCAGCTGGTCAGAAACTATATCTATATGCAGAGGGCAGGATGATGGAAAACCAGAGAGGACGAGGCACCTGGCTTCCCTGCACAGCAAGTGATTGGTGCAGTGGAGACCCAAATCCAGCTCTCCAGTTCTGTCAGCACCCTTCCTAGGATCCTGGGAGGCCACACAGAAGAGTACAGAAGTTGGTCTGGATTTGAACCCTGGATCTCTAGCTGGGTGGCTAGGAGATGCTTCTTTATCTCTGTATCTCGCTTGTCTTGTCTCTAAATCAGGGCAAAAATAACCCACATCTTGAGAGCTGTTAGATGATGAAATTATTACGCAATGCATGAGGAGGGAACTCCAGCAGACATGGGGTGGGAGCCTGACAAATATCCTCTCCATTTTCCTGGGTCTTCCGTGAGATCTCACCACCCCCACACACTTGTAACTTTAGTGACTGTTAGTGGTGCACCTGTGTGCCCAGCCTGCAGGGACCCTGCATGCGCGGGCCGTGTACCTGGGCTGGCTCTCAGGTTCAGGCTAAAGGCACTGTTTAAATAACTTGCAGGGAGAGAGCGTTCCTCTTGAATCTCAGTAGGGGGCATCCCTGGCCCCGTGTGGCTCAGACAGCAGCGTGAACCCCCACCCACCCACTCACATCCTCAGCTTTGCTCCAGCTTCAGAATCTGCAGCCAGCTTTAGCCCCACCCTTCTCTACGCCCTCTCCTCCCACAACCTCATCCATTCATCCAACAGCAGGAGCAGCCAGGAGCGGTGGTCCATGCCTGCAATCCCAGCCCGTGAGAGGCTGAGGCAGGAGCGTAGATGCTGCTACACATAGAGGGTGGTGTCAGAGGGTTCTGTCACAGAAAGCTGCCTAAATTCTTCTTAGAAAGTAGAAAGTGGACTCCTTGCCAATCCTTTTGGACAGTTCTGCCTCCCAAAGGGGGGTGGAACAGAAGAGATAGGAGGAGCCCCTACGTCTAGTGCTTGTGCCCCTAAAATGCCTCCCAACGAATCCCTAGGCTTGGCCACAGAGCCCCAGGACTAACAGGACTCCACTCCCTTAGAAGTGACACAAACTACCAAAACTGTCCCTGCCTGGCCGCAGCTGCCCCAGAGGAACAGAGCCAGCAGGGTCCCTGCACTCCTCCCACACAGCCTTTGTGGACTTGGCAGAGAGAAACTATGTTACCGCGCAGACACTTTGCGGAGGTCCCCACTCGGGCCCTCCTTCCGAGACAGCTCTCCCCAGCACCCCAAGCTCTCCGGCTAGCTGTCTTCCCCTCTGCCTTCTCCTTGCCCCCTTCCCGCAATGCAGGTGGACACCCTAACCAGCATCCCTTTTCCTTAAAACACTCTTCTCCTAGCCAGGCATGTTGAGGTCCTGTAATCTTAAAACCCTGGAAAGCTGAGGCAGGAAGATCACAAGTTAGAGCCCAGCCTGGGTAATTTAGCAACATAGCAAGTCTGTCTCGAAATCTAAATAAATAAAGAAGTGACTGGGAGTGGAGGGTTTGCTCAGTGCAAAAGCCCTGGGGTCAGTCCTCAATACTGCAACACAAAAAAGAGCCTTTTGCCCGCTGGGGAGGCTGCTTGGTGACAGAGCACTTGCTTTGCATGTACGAGGCCCTAGATTCCACCCTCTGCCCCATAAAAAAAATAAAATTAAACTAAAGGTGTGGTGCAGGAGTATAATCCCAGCACTCAGGAGGCTGAGGCATGAGAATTACTTCAAGTTCAAGGCCAGCCTGGGTTACACAGAGAGTTCAAACCCAGCCTAAGTAAGCTACATAGCAAAACCTTGTCTCAAAAACAAAAAAAAATTATTTTCTCTCCTACCCCAATTATCAGTCCCTTCCTCTTGTCCTGAATTGGATTTTGGTTTCCACTTCCTCTTTTCCTTGCATTGTACCCACTTCCTACCCCATCTGGACCACTTTTCTCTTAATGATAAGCTTGTGTTGAGGCTTACTGTGTCCTTGGGTTAAATAAAAATAGGAGGGGCCGGGCATTTAGCTCAGCAGCATAAGTGCTTGCCTTGCAAGTGGGTAGTCATGAGTTCGATCCCCAGTACCCAAAAAAAACAAAAAAATATGAAAAGAAAAAGCCTCCGCGCTTGCCTCGTGGGACCTGGGGTTTATGACAGAAACACACAGAAAGACATGTATGTATTATAACGCCAATCAATTATTGTGCGAGGAACTTTTTTCAATAACTGCATTTCATCTGCCTTGACTCATTTTATCCTCACAGCAATCTTAGGAGGCTGCTTTACAAAAGAGGAAAGTGAGGAACAGAGATATAAGAAAACCTTTCCAAACTTAAATGGCAAATAAATGCTAAGGCCAAATTTAAATCCGAGCCCGGTGGTCCCACCTGACCACTTCTCCATGCACCTAAGTGCCCCAAACCATGAAGCAAATCGCTAATAACATTGCATAAGGAAGTCAGGCAAGGTTTCACAGAGGAGATTTTGAGATGGGTTTTGTGGATGAGAAGTTCGCTGAGTAGAGATCAGGAAAGACTTTCCAGTAAGAGAGCTTAGTATGGTAACAGTCAGCACGAAATGACATGACTTGGGAATTTTGCTAAGCTGGACAAGAAGGAATATTGGGGACTGGGCGGGGTGAGACCTAACGAGACAGAGACCAAGTTGCACAGAGCCCTGAGTGCCTGGTAAGGGGCTAGAATCTGGTCCTGGAGGTCTTGGAGACCCTTGATGGGTTGCAAACAGCAGCAGCTTGGCCTCCTTCCCTCCCTCCTGGCATTGCTAGGCAACCTGGGCTCCCAGCTGTGTCCACGCAGGTGGCTCCCTGCTGCCCTCAGCTCCCCCATCTCACGGCCACGCCCCTCTCTCCTCCCGCCCCTCGTGTTCTGCAGGGGCCGTGAGGGCCTCGAGCATCTTCCCCATCCTGAGCGTGATTCTGCTGTTCATGGGCGGCCTCTGCATCGCGGCCAGCGAGTTCTACAAGACTCGTCACAACATCATCCTGAGCGCTGGCATCTTCTTCGTGTCTGCAGGTAAAGCCAGAGCACTGCACGAGCTGGGGTGCAGGCCACAGTGTGGGGAGGGAGCCCGTAAGATGAGGTGACAGGAGGCTCAGGCTGGGGTCCCCCCCTGAACCCCTACCGAGTGACTCACACCCTCCACCTCCCTCCCATCAACTAGAGAAAGGTCAGCCCCTGGGGTCCCCTCAGTGGGTGAGGAAGCTCCACACTGGAAACCACAGGTACCCGCCCCTCGCCATCCCAGCTGGCGGCCCCTCTGACGGGTGTGTGAGCCCATTTACACGGCACAGCACACTTGCCACAGATGCCACAAAAGCAGCAGGAACTGTAGCATGAGCCATTGAGTAGAACTGACCGGCAGCGTAGGGGCACCTGCCACACCCGGGCACCAAGAGCAGGCATTGGAATCCTCTAATGTAATCCATTGCGTGAGGCCACCATCGGCCCAGCTTAGAGGGGGAACCCCAGCGGGGCTAACTTGTCAGCAGCTTTGAGCCTCAGCAGCCTGGGTCCAGCAGCCAGGCTTCAGCCCTGATGCCCCAGCGTCAGATCTGTGTGCCCCCTGAGCAGCTCCTTTACCTCTCTGTGCTTCTGTGTCCTCATGAAGCACTTAGCAGGGAAGGCGGATAGTAAGTGCTCAGTAAACAATATCCGCAGTTGCATTATTACTAGTACAGCGGGACAGAGTCGCTCTGCTCTCCTGTCTACATCTGACCGCCACAGCTATCTCTGTGTGGCATGATAAAATATTAAGGCGGAGCCCAGGGGTCTTCTAGCCCAGTGCCTCTGTCCAGGCAATCCGTCCAGCTGTCCCAGCCTTGCACGCTGGCTAGTGGGACCATCCCGGGAGGACCAACCCCTCCTCTCTGCTCTTCCCACCGCAGGTCTGAGTAACATCATTGGGATCATCGTGTACATATCTGCCAACGCAGGAGACCCCTCGAAGAGTGACTCGAAAAAGAACAGTTACTCCTACGGCTGGTCCTTCTACTTCGGGGCCCTGTCCTTCATCATCGCTGAGATGGTCGGGGTGCTGGCCGTGCATATGTTCATAGACCGGCACAAACAGCTGCGGGCCACGGCCCGCGCCACGGACTACCTCCAGGCCTCGGCCATCACCCGCATCCCCAGCTACCGCTATCGTTACCAGCGCCGCAGCCGCTCCAGCTCGCGCTCCACCGAGCCCTCTCACTCAAGGGACGCCTCGCCCGTGGGCATCAAGGGCTTCAACACCCTGCCGTCCACCGAGATCTCCATGTACACGCTCAGCAGGGACCCCCTGAAGGCTGCCACCACGCCCACCGCCACCTACAACTCCGACAGGGACAACAGCTTCCTCCAGGTCCACAACTGTATCCAGAAGGAGAACAAGGACTCTCTCCACTCCAACACAGCCAACCGCCGGACCACGCCCGTATGAAGACCGCCCCGGGGGGCTGGTGGCTGGTGGCCCCGGCGCCAGTGGGAGGGACCCTGGGCATGGCAGGAGGCGTGGCCCACGGGCAGGGACAGGGCTGCCCACGGGAGACCTTCCCAAAGCAAAAAACACACACACAGACACACACACAAAAACACAAAAAACAAAAAAAGAGAAAAACGTAACAAGTAAATTAAAAAAAATAAAAATAAAAACAAAATATAAGAGGAACAAACATGTAAACAACAGGCAATGTGGAAAAATATAAACGAAGGGAGACAAACTTTAAAACGAAGCAAAAGGGATTAAAAAATTAACAATAGAAAATAAATCTAAAAGAAAATGCATGACTTCCCATGTACCATTATTTTAACATTTAATAAAAACCAATTTAAATGAAAACCATAAAAGGGAACCAAGATAATATTAAAACAAAAAGAAAAAAAAAAGAAAAAAAATACGAAAAGGAACGGAAAGGGAGAGGGGTGCCCTTTGCTTTTAATTAGGGTTTTATGTTACCTTTTTGTTTGTTCACTTGGTTGTTTAATTGTGGGGAAAGTTTAAAAACTAACAGTATTAAAGCATTCTGTTCCCTTTAACCCAGTGAGCCCCGCCTCTCTGGGGGGTGGGGGTGGAGGCAGGAGCCTGTGTCACTGCCAGGCCCCTGGGACCCCTGGGAGGCCCCCCAGCCGGCTCCCCCCAGTACTGAGGCACCTGTAGGCCTCCGGGTGGCCTGGGTCCTCGGTCCCTCCTGTCCGTTCGGTGCCTGGAGGGTACACGTGGGGCTCCCCGCCCCTGGTTCCCAGTCCTTAATGGTCCTAACCCACTGTGATGACTTCCTAGGCCTTGAGGAAAGGGAGGGGGAAGGGATGGCTGCCGTGGGCTTACAGAGATGCCGGACACCCCGGAATCCTCAGGGTGAGCCTTTGGGGGTCACCATCCCCAAGCTCCTGTCCTTGGGGTCAGGAGACACCCACCCCTCCCTGGGAGAGGGACTGTAAAGGGGCTCTCCCTCCTCACCCCTCACCACAGGGCCACCTGATGACCCTGGGGTGATGGTGGACCCCCAGACTCATAGGCCCCCCAGTCCTCCTGGGACAGGGGCTCTTTGACCCTTTGGGGGTCGTTGGATTCACTGACGCCCCTCTCTGGGCCCAGGATCCAACAATGACGTTGCAAAAAGGTTTCTTTTTACAAAAGAAAAAGGAAAACAAGTGGTGATTTTTTTTTAATAAAAAAACCACAGATTATAAATAAATGTAAATATATAATAAGTGGATTTACTTGCAAGAAAATCAGATAGTATTTTTCTTTTAATTCTTTTCCAGCTTTAAACTGTGAAAAAAAAACACAAAACAATAGGGTGGGGTGGGGGGGCTTTAAAATTTAGCAGGGAACTTGTAAAGACAAAACAGAAAACAAATATACAAATCCATTTAAAACCAAACAAGACAGATGGAGAGAGGCGAGCTGGGCTTCGAGCCAGAGGAAGAGGAATAGGCCCCAGCCAGCTGCAGGGAGCCTTCTAGAAAGATCGCTTCCTTCTACCCAGAAGGTGCTGCTGATGTGGGGAGAGGAGACCACACGACACCCACAGCCACATGCCGTCCACGCAGCCCAGCGCTGTGACAGCTCCAGGGACGACCCCGCTGTACTACCCACCCCACGCCCTGCCGGGTGCCCAGCTCAGAAAAACCGACTCCTGCCATCCAGAGCCACGGGCACCAGCACCACAAGGCCACCCCAGCCTTTATGGCCCATGTGCCCCTCCCCACAACACCGCTATACACACGCACGTGCACACACACACACGCAGACCAAGCTCACCCGCATGGCGAGGGCACCGGCTGGAGCCCAGGCCTGGATTCTGCATTTCCTCACTGTGTGGCCTCCCTGGGCCTCCATGTCCCCCCGGGTACATGTACAGGCTGACCCAGATGTGCCCTCTGAAGGACCGGTCTTGTTCTAAAATCTGCCACCTGCACAGGGAAAAATGCCCGGGATGACCGAATCAGTTGCCACCGAGCTCCCGTGACATGGAGAACAATTCCAAATCACCGGTTGGCCTCCCCACCCCTCCCCCATGCACAGACACATACACACGCACACATACATGTGCACACACACACATCTCCCACATGGCTCCTCACTGTGCTCCCCAGCCCCTGACCCCACATTCAGTGTCAAAGCAAAAATACACACACGTGAGCTAATGTTTCCTGCCATTCAGACACAGAGGGCAAAGACGCAGAGGTCCCCAAAGCCACTCTTCATGTGTGTCTCCTTTCTCTAATGCCATGGCCCCATCACAGAATGAAGGAGGCTCCCCAGGACCCTCCAGAGCCTTTTGGCTGGGGAGGTGGGGAGGTGTCAAAAAAAAAGATCCTTCAAAATTTTCAAGAAAGGCTCCTCTCTCTTTCTCTCTCTGTCTCTCTCTCTCTCTCTCTCTCTCTCTCTCTCTGGAGCTCAGAATTAAAGTTTTCAAGGAAAGCTTCTCTCTCTCTCTCTCTCTCTCTCTCTCTCTCTCTTTCTGGAGCTCAGAATTTTAGCTGTGCATAGTCCTAGGGGAGCACCTGCTCCCCAAAGTTAAACTACAGCAAGGAGCACACTGGATTCTCCCCTTTCTTCTCCAGAGTGACCAGGACCAGTTCAGACTAAAAACTCCCAGCTAGAAATTTCCCACCAGCTTGCATATGATCCAGTCCCAGCCGACGAGGCCACATCACCCGCAGCCGCTTATCTCCCTGGGTTTGCCACCATCCACCCCTGGCCCGTCCTGAGTTTTCCCAAGCTGAGCTTTCTGGGGCTCCAAAGGGTGGCTGGCAAGGCTGCTTGAACATGTGCACTGTGTCGTCTTCAGGAGAGGGAAGCTGTCTCCCCAGGCTAGCAGGAGCCACACAGCTCAGGCCCAGACGTGCAGGGGAGGCCACAGGGCCCAGGGCTCAGAGGTGGGGCTGGTGAAGCCGTGGTGGTCACCGAGACTGGTCATCTCTCTGACTGGGCAGAAATGACCAGCTCTCCCCAACCACCAGCTGCACCCCATCACCACCCCCAGACACCAAACCAGGTGGAGGCCTAGTAAGAAGGGAAAAGCCGGAGCAGAAGCCTGTTTGCTTGTCCCACAGGAAGGCTGGTCTTGTTCTGGGGCTCTGACATTTGGACCTGGCTGGGAGGCCTGGGGCCTGAGTCCACTTAGAGAAGACCAGGGGGCGTGGGTGACACCAGCGTGACAAGGAAAGGACAAGGGGGCCAGGAGGAAGAAGCTGGGATGTGCCTGCTGGGGCACTGCCCTTCAGGGTAGACGACTGCTCGTGTCCAGCTCCAATCAGTTCAAGAAATCAACCTCCATTTTATTTTCTTGGTGGTTCCTTTATTTTTTTTTCAGACTGTTACAGAAAAAATTTTAAAAAGCAGAAAACAAAACAAAAAATACAAAACAAAAAAAATCCTGGTACATGAAATAAAGATTTTTTTTTATAGCTTGGTCCACACGTTGGTGAATTTCTTTAAGTACTTTTCCAGCTCCTTGCATCTTGTTTAAAGCAATAAGGTCACAGATTCTGAGAGTTGGGACACAGGAAGCTTAGATGCTCTTCAGTAGGGTGGGAGCTCCCCAGCTCACAGGTTCCCTTTTAAATAGCCCTTACCTGTACTTGCATGCCCCCAGGGATGGGAGGCTCATCCTTTTCCAGGGAAGCACTGGCGGGTGCTAGGCAGCAGCCATTGGCAAAGTCTCCTCAAACCCACACTTACTTTCATGCTCCAGCAACACCAAGCAAATCCCTCTTCTTTTCAGCCCCTCAGATCTTGGAAGACAGAGAATGTGATGTCCTAAAAGTTTCTCTTTTAGAATAAACCAGCCCCTTGCAACATCTCAACCACAAACGGGTTCCATTCTCCCCAGGAAAGAGTGCAGACTGCAAGGACAAGGCTCTGGGGCTCCCTGTAGAGGGGTCCTCCTCAGAGGGGACCACGGAATGGCAAAAGAATGGGAAGCATCTCGCAGGGGCCCCGGGGGACTCTCTCCACCTGAACAGATGGGAAAGACGAAGACGGAGGACACGGCCCTTGATGCTGGACAAAGGGCCCGTGAAGGCAGCTAAGGGCCAGACAAAGAAATGGGAGGCTGAGGCAGGAGGATCACAAGTTTGAGCCCAGCTTGGGCAGTTTAACAAAGCCTCGCCTCAAAATAAAGAACTATACAAAGGGGCTGGACATATAGCTCAGGGCGAAGGCCTTGGGTTTGAGCTTCAAACTGAAAAGAAAAAAGAAATAAGCCACCAATGTCCAGGCCTGGTCAGGCAAACTGCCAGGGTGAGCTATTTGAAGGAGGGCTATAAACACTTCTAAAAATACACTGAACGCATTTTACTTAGTTTACTTTAACTTTAAAAATCTGTCACAACACGTGGTAGCTCACGGCTGCCATCCCAGTACTTGGGAAACTGAAGCAGGAGGATCACCGCAAATCCACGGTCAACGTGGGCTACGTAGTCAGGTCCAGGCCAGCCTGACTACAGGGAGACCCTGGCGCAAAAGGAAAAAAAACTAAACTAAAAAACTGCACACCAAAAAGGACGGAGGAAAGCAGGTATTTTGAACTCCAACTGAGACAAGGAACAAATTTAAAAAATCGCTGTTAGCAAATGCATCTCTTGCCTCCTCTCGCACATCCCCGTGCCACCCTCCCGCCACCTCTCCAGATGCATTGGACACATTGTCCTTGACCCAGAAGGCCGGACAGAGACTCCCAGCAGAAGCCAAGGCCAACGAAAGGGGAGGAGAAAGCTTGTTTACAAGGCACCCCGAGGACGCGGGGTTCTGAGAAAAGAGCTACACGTGGCCCCCTGACCTTTACTGTCACCTACCAAAAAGGCAAAGAGACCTCATTCCCCACAGGCTGGGTTTTGCAGGTTGTTTTAGTATTGTCATTTGGAGAGCCAACAGAGCGACCTAGGAGAAGCATCTGAGGTACCACGCATCACCTAGCTGGGGGCTGCCAGGAAGCCGCGGAGTCACCATCCAGTCCCCTGCAGGGCCAGGGCTGCCCTCTGAGGTCTAGGGCCAGAGACTCGGGGAGAGAGCTAAGCCAAAGGTCAGCCCCGGGCCCCAAGGGAGGAGGAAGCCAGTGGGAGACCGCGCACACGCAGACTCAGAGGTCGGAGGACTGTGTGCCTGTGTGCACACGGGGACCCAGAGAAGACCAGTTCAGCACCGAGCCCTGTCCATTCCACCTCAGTCACTGGAGGCCGTGGTGACAGCACCCCCACAGGTGATCAGGAGCATCTCTCCAGGCTCCCCGCAACAGCTGCAGGAGCGGGGCCAGAGCACCTGTGGAGGCTCTTAGATCTGAAGTCTAAATATACAGCTTCGGACGCACCAAACTGGCACACTTAACAACGTGTTCTCTCCGCTGTCCTGACCGCTGTCTTCGTTCCAACTGAAAAGGTAGGCTCAAATTTAGAAACCTCAGCCTCCTCTGAATTCTGCCCCTCGTCGTGACCACAGGGGACAAGGCCATCTTGGTGCCCCAACCCCAGTTTCTAGCCCCCAACCTGCCATGCGAGTGGGCATCTCTAGCAAGGTGGTACACATGCTCACCGGCACCTCCACGCTCCCCAGCTCAGCCACTCCCTGGCCCACCCTCAGGCCAGTCACCCTCAGGACCTCGATGGCAGTGACCTTGGAAGATGGCTGGGAGGACCCTTGGGCAGAAACCTAGACAGCAGACAGCAAAGAAGGATCCAGATTTGGGTGTGGGGCCCAAGGTGAAGCGGTCCCCTGAGCCTGGGATGGTCCAAGGAGGGCCAGAACAGGGTCCCCTAAGACCCAGGGCCATCATAAAGGCCCTGTCACTGTCTCGCATCAGCCCAGCCACTCAAGCTTCTGAACATAGAAGTCAACACTCAGAGCTCAGGCCACTGGCTCACAGAGGGGCAGGGAAGAGATGGAGAGGCCCAGGAGCCGGCAAGCTCTTCATGGAAAGTCACGATCGGAAGCCAGAGAGGGCTAGTGGTTTGTCCAGACCTGCACAGCAGTTTGGCTTCAGGCCAGCTGGGGGCCCACAGCCTCTTGATCTTCATCTCCCAGCCCTTGTGTTTGCCTCTCCCAGCCCTCCTCCACCTTCTCCTCCCAGTCCTGCCACTGTCTCCCCTGCACACTCTCAGGGTAGCTGAAGGCCGAGGGCAGGTGGCCATGGTTATCTCGGGAGCCACCAGACCTGCCTAACAAGCAGCTCCAGCTCGGACGGTGACCAGCCAGTGCCTGCTGCTCTGGCGAGCACAGAGCTCTGCAGAACAGTGGCTGCTGGCCACCCCGGTGTAGACTCCTCTGCAGGGAACTTGATCCTGGCTCACGGGTCCTTCCTCAGCTTCGAGTTCAGGGGTGTCACGTAGGCAGCTGGTAGTGGTCAGGTGGGCAACAGCTGCGAATCGGGGCTGGTTTCTCTAATGAAGAGCCATCAGTGAACATTTGCCAGCATTGCAGTGCCTAAACTCACAAGGAAAAGTGTGCACAGGGGCTCACTATGCCCCCCAGGGATACAGTGTTTGTCCATACCCACAGTGTGTGTGCACACTTGCACATCCATGCACATGGCCCTGTTGTGCACACATGCAGACCCACACACACATACACACACACACACACACACACACACATCTGGAATTAGAGCCACCCATACAGCCACAGCTATTCAGTTGCTCAAGTGAGCATTTACAAGCCGCATCCCTGTCACCAAGCCTTGCCCTCATTCCCCAGGACACAGGACAGCAAGAACCTGGGCTGCCCTGCAGGACACTGAGGCATGGACGGGTGACAGAGACTAGCTGACAAGGACTGTGACAGTGCCTTGGCAAGGACAGGAGGAAGCACACCCCTAAGTGGGCTCCCCACGCTGCACCCCTCATCCACGCCTGCTGCACTTAATCAAGCAGATACACCCTGCATCAAAATCAAAGACATTCACTCACAGCGCATGCGCCTTGTGCCCAGGGTGTGCATGAGGGTGCAGGTGTGCACTGATTCCTTCACACCCCACAAAGGAAGAGAGTGCTGGGTCAGCTGGTGGGATGAAGAGCCCAAGGTGACAGGAAGCTGGGTTCCTCTCTTGGTTGCTAGCGTTCAACACGGAGAAGGGAACACCGCAGGAGCAGGGCTCTGAGATGACACCAGGGAGACACAGAGGCCACATCCCTTCCTGGATAAGGGGGGCAGTGTACCTTCCTGTCCCTTTCCTTTGGGAGGTCAGAGGTCACACCCCTCACACTAGCTCAGATCTCAAAATGTCCTGCAGAGCTGAGCCACCAACCTCAGGCAGGAGGGAGCAGCACAGGGAAAGTGCAGGATTTGAATGAAACCACAATTTCTTTGGGCCGTTCTCTTGGCCCCGTGGCATAGTTGTGAAAACCTGCCCTCATCAGGCCCGTTTATCTCTCTTGCCACCGAACAACAGGGACTCATTGGGAACCTACCCTGTGCCGGGCCCTGCAGACTGTACATTACTACAGCTTTGTTAAGCCGTTATTATTGTTCCCTTTCCTCAGACGCAGGCAGAGGCTCCAAGGCTCAGCCTGGGTGAGACAGTGACTCTGGAGCCGCCTTGCCAGGGTTTGGATCCTGCCTCTACCACTGAGTGGCAGTGGGATTTGAGACAAGTAATCCAAGCATCGGCCAGCTGGCCTGTGAGAGGACAAGAAGAGTGACTGTCGGTAACAGATGAATCAGACACACTGGCGTGGGGCCAGGACCACGCTGCCCGGGACGCAGGCGCCCAGAGAGGAGCACTTCCTCCCTGACCAGGTGCTGAGTGACCACCGTGGTCACAGGACCAAACTGTGCTCAGGATGGGATCGAGCTGCTCCCCATGACTCCGTCCTGTCCCTGTCATTGGGACACATGCACACACGCAGAGACTCCCCAGGCACCCAGAGGAAACAGCGAGCAGGGAGAAGGGAAGGCAGCTGGGGCAGCAGAGAGCTCGCTGGGCATGGGCAAGGCCCTTGGTTTGATCCCAGCACTAAAACAAGACGGGGCAGGGGGTATTCTCCCCGGCAGGCCTGGAAGGCGTGGGAGGGGACGGGGATGCCAGGGTTCCCTGCGTGGTTCTGACTGCGAAAGTCCTGAGGGCTGAGGCTTAGACCGTGTCCACCTTGTCCCTTGGCTCTGTCCCAGCCTGGACTCCAGCCACAGAGGCCCCAGTAGCTCTTGGAGACCCTGAGGGTTCCGATGAGGTGACTCATTCATTCATTCATTCATTCAGTCCTTGTGACAGGCCATTCACTGTGTTCAGTGTTGGTGGTGACAGCAAGCAGGACAGACATGGTCCCTGTCCCTACAGCTCATGTCCTGGAGGAAAAGCAGGAAATTAGCAAGGGAAGGACCACGTAACTATGTAATTGTAGGAGATCATTTCAAAAGTAGCAGGATGGGTCTCTTAGGTGATGTGAATAAAAACAACCCACATTGTGAGATCTCGCAT